GAGAGATACACAGCTTCTCGTTCTCTTTCCGGATCTCCTGTAGCTCTGCTTGGTAAGCTGTTGGCAGCTTCCTGTGTTCCCGGTAAGCGTAGGGTGTGGAGGCTTCTCTGCTTACCTCCATGTGCTCTCTTTTTTTCTGCAGGCTGTGGGCTAGCTGGGGTTCTGGACCATAACATCTGTGGTGATGGCTCTGATGGTCCCTCTCTGGGGCAGCATCCCACTGAACCTGGCTAGTGGATGAGGTTGCACATGATGAGGTGAAGGGGGTCATCTTGGCTGCTCCTTAATGATGAGAATACCACTCTTCTTCCTGCCCATGTACATCATACCGTGCTGTGCTATGGTGTGGTGAAGCGTGCAGTCTATGGCTCACATAGCCTACCTTGTAATCTTGTAGATGCTGTGGTGGCTGTGTCTGACACTTCGGACGAACTGCTGGCTGTGTGAAAGCTTCACTCACGTAGTAGTCTTGCATCTTGCTCCGGGAGAAAGCACTGCAGATCTTGCTTGAAGGACCACAATGTAGTTGAGGACTTGGTGGACTGTATATTCTGTAGAGTTAGGTTTTACTTAGCACTATGTGTTCTCTCCCAGGTGCTTGTAAGGGCACAGATGACAGACCGGTAGGATTCCAGTTGAGGTTGTTTAATGACGCTGATTCACAGTGCAGTAACGGCACAGCACAGCACAGTGTATGGCTTGACAATTGTGTTAACCAAGAGTTTGTGTGGTTCTGAAAAGGGCAAAATTAAATACAATAGTAAATGGCAGGTATAGGCTTAATACAACCTCCAATTACATAATATATAAATAATATGGCTACAATTGGTTATCTGCTGCACAGGGCAATACAACCTAACAACATGGCTGTAACTTCAATAATGAATGATCAGAGGAGTGCAACTACACAGCACTACTGAGCAGCACCATCATCCTCACACAACTGCATGAACTTTAATGTATAATGCATCCACAAGGCTCATTGCTAACAAAATACCCACATAATCTATACAGTATACATCCATATAACCACAGGGCATATAAGACTAGACACTGAAATGCTAAATGTCTGAAATGAGATGACAAACAACAGGGTTAGCAAGCTTACAGTTGCTAGCTCGCACGTGAATATGCATAACAAAAGAGTGAGTCCACAACACATGAATTGTAAGAAATATGAACTCACATTTCTGAAGGACACACTAGCCTAGGCTAAAACAAAGAATGCTAACTAAAGGTAATCACAGTAGATGGCTGGAACTTATCACAGCTTGTGTACTTCCTCTAGTTACTTCCTTCTCCTCAGAGATCATCCAGCATGCTCTGCTCCACATCACCGGTAGGCGGAGCTACAGCTCTCCTATGATGAACACATATTTACTCTCAATAGTCTTTCGTACAGTATGAAACTTTTCACATGCACTTTAACAATTCAACAGCACAATTCCACCTGCACTTGCATCGTTGCGAGGCACTTGCGTTGTTCTCACACTTATGTCCACTAGAGGTCAGCACGGTACATTGAGTATTTTCTCTGGCTGCTTGCTAGTGTTCTGCAGCACAAACCCATTTAATTTCAGAATGTATAAAAAATATGAACATGGTGTTTGCATAAATTTGACAGCGCACTTACATGTCTTTCATCATAAAATGTCAGCATAATTTGCTTTTTCAGGGCATTAAGCCAAAATACATTATATAAACAAGAATAAAATAAAAAATATATAAACTGCCATTGTGGAACATAAAGATCATATTTAGCTGAACATTTTAATATGAAGTTTTCATAAATAACTCATCATTTGAACCATTTATGACCCTGGTTAGACATTTTCTAAAAATGACACACAATAGACCGTAATTAAATCTTTAATGATGAAACTGCCACGTCCGTTTGGGATATTACAACAACCAAGTTACTGCAAGCAAACACTATTTTTCCCCCATCATTGCGAGTACGATATAACCAAACTGAGGAATTCCTCTATATTAACTTCAGCTGTTATAATCTGATATTGAACTACTGGTAAGCATCATGACATTTCACAGCCAGTTACTCGGGTTAAGGTAATATTTGTATTTCCTAATGGCTGAAGCTAGCTGTAAGCTAGTGGCACAGCTCAATATGTAGCCTAATTATGCATACTGGTTAGGCAAGGTAGGGTACTACTACAAAACATACTGACCAATTCAATACAGTATTATTGTAGTTCAGTTGTACTTTTGTGATATTAAAGGATGTGAGAATGTGTTCAGTATTGACCCTCGACTTACTGGAGTAAGACCAGTGAAGGGGATTTCTTCACAGAAGACATTTCCCCTCAAGTTAGTGTTTTTTCACATAAAACATTTGTAATTTACCTTCAATTCAATTGATGCCTGAGGCATGTAATGATATTCCAAAATTCCAACTGTTTGAGTCAATCCTACCAACTAATTAATTTATTTGACATCAGTCTGAACTGCTTTGCTATTAGGAACATCCTACAATATCATCTATTGATATAGCTAGGCATAAGGAATATTACGTTTAACATTTAAAACACCACTACTAGAAAAAGTAGGCTAGTCTCTCATTCAGCTTTTTCTTCTTTTGTATAAAAACAGCGCATTTCAGTCATTAAACCATGTAATCAACTGGACAGAGTAAACACTCAATTTCAATGTCTTGTTCTCTTTATAATGTCTTAATTTCCTCAAAGTTCTGGTGATCAAGACTCTACCAATATTTCCATGATGTGCTCCAGCTCATTCAGGTCCCTGAAGCTCTGGGGGAGAAGGGAGAGGGTGAAGTGGACAGAACGGAGGACAGAGAGGGTAAGTACTTAAGCAGCTCGTCACTGGCTGCAGCAGAGAGTGCTTGGACCCCCATCTCCCTGTCAAACACAGACGTGTCGATGTCATGGAAAAGTTCATCCAGTTTCACATCCTGCAGGTAGCTGGAACACATTACCTCCTCCACACTACCAAAAGCCACCCCCTCTGAGGTTCTACACCCCTCAGAGCTTTGTTTGAGCCCCAGGTCTCCAGGTAGGTTCTCAATGGACCTGAAAGGTGTCCTCTGAGGTGCCTGAGGACCTAGCCCTCCATCGACAGTCAAGTCTAGTTCTTTCAGAATGGAGGAGACAGCAGCTGACACGGAGAAGTCACTCTCTGAGGACATCCAGACATCCTCCATGTCCTCGACACCTGAGGCACTGTTTACAACACCCAGACCAGACTCCCTGTGGAGGCAGGGTTTAGATGGGACCATGGGTGGCACTGGTCCTGCCAGGTTAACTAACTCATATGGAGGCTTGTTTTCTAGGTGTATGTGCCGCAGGGTGTTGGCTATCAACACGGAGCTGCGCAAACTAGGCTCCATCAGCTCCTGCCCGCGGTGGTACTTGTCAAGGGAGATGCCGAGCACTGACTGCCGCTGGCTTTCCCAAGTGCAGCTACACATGCACCCCACGACATCATCGAGTTTGCGCTTCTGTCCCTTGGATTTCATCCTCGACCTAACGTAGTTAGCTAGATGGAGAACACAAAACTTGATAAGAATCTTTAGAGATCACATCACGACACGTTAAATTGTAAGTTGACTGCAGTAATATAGCTATGTCCCGGTGATAGAAATTAATGGCTAGATAGCTAGTAGCTAGCTAACGTTGGTTAGATGACTAACTTAGTAAGCTAGCTAGTAGCCAGCTACTACAGTAGCGTTCTCTCCACTACCTACTTTGTCGCAATTTGGCAAAACAACAACAAACCTGTCGTGCGCAACTGTTCGTCTGTCTTCAGTTATCTTTTCGATATACAAAAGTAATGAATGCTGTTAGGTACACTTTTTAAAATATTTTTTTGCCTAGCTCGGCGGCTCGGTACAAAACCCACCGGCAAACTAATTTAAAAAGAAAACATGTTCCCGCACGAGATGTAAGTTTTACTAGAGATGAAGAGGCGAAAGGAGAGGTTTCACTCTTGCCAAAATCTGACCAACAGACCAGGCCGGGGTTTGATAAGTCAATGAGAGAAGTGAAAAAGTATTTATTAGTTCTTACTTTTCTCGAAATCTAAAAGCACAACCTAGATTCGAGCCAATGTCTTAAGTAGTTGAACATATTATTACTCCAACCTCGTGAAAGTAACAAACTGAAACGTTTTCATTTTCAGTCAAAAACAATTTTATATCGAAGGAGTGCCTGTGATTTGACGGCCTGCACATGCGTAGTTCGGTGCAAGACGACCGTTGGACCCGATGACGTTTTTCTACGCATGAGTTTAGCTAGCCAACGTCACCATGACATCGCCTACAAGGGTGTGTTCGTAAATTGCCTCCAGTGTTACAGAGTGAGTTCCAGGTCATTCATACATTCAGAGCGTTGTCAATATTTGGGTGTGTTTTGTATTTCAATAAAAATAAAAAACATGAGTTTATGATAAGCAAGCAACTTTCATTGTGTTTACAGTAGGCTAGGCTATTTTGACAAAGCTAACTATGGACTGTCACGAGCTACATTGCTCAAAAAGTTACTGAATGGTTTGTATACCCATGCTACTGTGATATTAGGCTACGCAAGTCATTACATCCCTACCTGTTTGTCTCTATATTTAAGCAGAAAGTTTCCAATATGTTTGTCTCATTCGCCAAATTAGATATTCAAACTCGTCAGAATTGCAGTAGATAAAGGAAATGTCATCTAAGTGTTGACAGTGGTGGGATAGTACCAGCAGTCTCTAAGCTTTTGTTTGAAGTGTTCACATAGTGTATGTGACACCTCTAGAAATGGGGAAATAGTGACCCTGTATGTGAGTGTCCTACTGCCTTTGCCAAGAAGCCTTTAAGACTTTCATGGCACAGGTCAGGTGCTAGTTCACCTATAACCACAGTTTTTGGTTCAAGCTCCATTTCAGCTGTTCACCCTCAATAGCTACATAGTGCCAGCAAATACCTCTGATAAATATTGTTGACATGTTTTTCTAGAGAGTGTGACACATAAAGACTGCCACCTCACAACTATGTTGTATTAGAAAACTCTTTATTTCAAAAGCTAGCTATAAAATGATGACATCATATGTTCTTAGGAATATAAACATTTGTAGTCTACATTTGTTGGCATAGCACACGATCAGGCTACAAGTAGGCCTAGGCTATCAATAACACATAGGCCTAATTGATGACTCACTTTGCACTCATACATACTCAGTCAACATTCAATTGCTGTTGGGTTAAAATAAAATATAAAGTCAAAGTAAAATCGATATTTGAAAGATATTGGCTATGAATCAAATTAAACAGTCTGCACAAAGTACGAGACCCACACACAATTACAAAGATGTTTAACATATTACAATTTTTATACATTATAATATCCATTGTCAAGATAAACTAAATAGTTACAAAACATTAGCAAAAGCCAAAGCTGCTATTTCTTTCAAGCAAGAAAGATTGGCCTGTAGAAAGAAGATCTAAGTTGCTGTGTCTGATAGGCCAGCTGTCTTAACTGCTTTATGGAAACGGAGAAAGGAGGGCTCTGTCTTGTTAGGGTTAACTGTACTCCCCACAAATCCCAACGGTCTTCCTGTCCCAGTCAGAGATGGACAAGCACTTGACGAAGAAGTGTCCCAGGTCATATTTGGAAATGACCCGCCCTTTCAGCATGTTCTCTGTCACTGTGTACTTATCAGTCAAAGGGAGGTTATCTGTTGGGAATAGCAGTGCATTTATATTTAGCAGTGCAATATAAGGCACCTAATATTATTACATATTCAGAAAATGTTTACTCAATATGTTTGTAATGTTTAATATCAGTTGAATAACACGAATCCATCCAGTACATTCCCACTGGGCACACACTTTGAATCAACATTGTTTCCACGTAGTTTCAGTGAAATTACATTGAACCAGTGTTGAATAGACGTTGAATTTACGTCTTTGCCCAGTGGGTAGTGCGTGAGGAAGGATGATAGGCCTATCATGTCATCACTGGAACCACTTACAGTATGCGACTCTGGTAGTACAGTACTACATTTCTACTGATTCAGGAAATGGGGAAGGGGGACGACTAACCATCGATGTGAGGGGGCATGACAGCCACAAAGTCCAGCCCTGACTCCTTCAGCACCATGTACATCCTATCATGGTCCTCTGTGACTGGCAGGAGCCTGGGTGGCACTTTAGACCGGTCCCATAGGAGGAAGGCTGTGAAGCAGAGATGGGGACAATATAATAATATGGTTTCTTTATGGTAGTTTATTGGAAGTTGGAAAGATGCTGTGACCCTGACTGTCCAAGATTCCTCTGTACCTGACATGCAGCCAACTACTTTGCGGATCCCCCGAGCTTTCATGGCGTCTAGGATGTTTCTGGTTCCTTCTGACATAATTGTTGTGGGACCTGTGGATTGCAACTGAAACATGAACATACTGACCATTATCCTGGCCTAAGCATTAAATGGTGTAGGCCTACTTCAGCAACCCTAGTGCAGTTAGTTACAGCAACTCACCCTGAACATTATTACAAAACATATTTTACCTCAAAGCAGAAAACATGTTTTAATAAGACTCCTGAACACTTCCATTTTGATTTGCACTTCAAGATAGATTTCAGCTTGTATAACGTATCTGTTATAACTTGGTTTTATTCACACAACTGCACATATGTTTTTACTAACTTAAAATTCCTATAGCCTACTAATGAAAGATTGCCTAAACTTACTGAGGTCATTCCTGGTGCCCAGAATGATGATAACAGCATCCTGACCCTCCATGGTCTTCTTCACATCCTCCTTATTGAGGACATCTCCCACCACCACCCTGCAGGCTTTGTGTTCTGCAGGCAGCCTGGCAGGGTCTCTCACCAGCACTGTCACGTTGTAACCTGTGGATAATGAAGTACAGAGAAGCATTATGAATTTATTGACTAATCTTATCATCTACCAATGATCCAGAGGGATTTGAGTCTGATGGGAATATGAAGATGAGAGGAATATGTAATGTAGGCAATCGGTTATTTTTTTATGAATGGATCTCAATTCTAGAGCATAGCCGTGGGTCTAATTGATTAGGCCATCCTAGTGTTCTGGATAAGCGCGATAAGCGCGATAAGCGGACAGCGGACTTTATCGAGTATCTGCTGCGCACTGCAACGCACTCATCCCAATCATGAGTCAGCAGAACCCTATAACGACTTGCATGACTCAACACTTTTGTCCCGTGATCTCAGAGCAAGGAAACGAAAACACTTGTTAATCAAATAAGCCAAATTATATCTGCTTCTTTTAGCACTTTTGCTATTATTTTGAAACGATGTAATTAATCGAATAGAACAGATCAGATTGGAAGAGAACAGAAAACAACAACACAATATAGAATAAAATAGAAAATAATAACTTTTTTTTCCCCCAGAGGAAGGCTGTGGCAAATAGCTCAGATGACCATTGATACTTCCAATTACACTAGTATAGCATATTCTAATGGCAGATGTCTGCTGTCCTATAGCATTGCATAGGAAATCAGATGAATAACGTTCAGCATAGTTTAGGAACAAGGCATAACACTCCGATCACTTTTGGACCAGGCTACACAGAAATCGCTATATGAGGGATTGTGTAAATAACCTATAATCTACAATAATTAGTAAATTCTGTCATTTAGAAACGTTGCCTACCCGCTGCAACAGCCAGTGGTAATGTCACCAGTCCGGTCATTCCCGTGGCCCCAAATATTGCAACATTCTTGATCGATTCTGACATAATAACAAATTGAGAAACTATCACTGGTCACGGAAGAATGTTACAACTTCTTGCTTCGTTGATCGTGTGCAACAATGTATCTGAAAACATACATGCAGAATGAATCTCTTTGACACTTTGAGAAACGCCCCTTTTAGATAACCAAAAAAGGCTCACTTCCGTAACAGACTCCTCCCAGCCCCATCAAGTAAAGGAAACGCACACAGTCACAACGGGGCAGTAATTGTGCAGGAGTCCTGTTTGATTTTTTTTGTCCGTTGATCAATCCAGATCAGCTATAGTGCACTGTTGATTTTCTTGGCAAGATATATTCCTTTTAGAGAATTTCAACTCATGTATTCTGTTTTTCTCTGTCTGGAGATCCAAAGATCTGAAACGATGGCATTTCCCAAAACTCTGTCAAGAGACTTGCGAATCACCTTCATTACACTTCAACCTCCTCCACCTTGCGACAGCCATCCGGGTTAAGGCACCAATGTAACTGACTGGGATTCGAACCATCTCCTGTGTTCCACATTGTGAGCCACACGAATGTGGTAGCCCACTGACCTAAAGCCTGCAGGCATTAGTTCGGGGAGGTGCTATTGTAACGGAGTTAAGAACGTGCGGTAAACTCACTCAACAGCTAGCTTGAAATGTCGCTGATGGAGCTGTATAATTGGTACCTTTTGTTTAGCTCAAACGTTGTCAAGGTGGGCGGACATGTGTGTTCCAAAGCAGAGGATCACTGGTTCGAGCCCGGTATTGGGACAGTGGAGGAAGCTAAACTGTTAGCAGCACACTGACGTCCGTTTCACTATTACACATCTTCAGGTCTCTGGCAAGGTTATGTGAATGTGGTTCACATAGTCTCGCTCGTTAGACTCATGGCGGGTCTGACTTAGAATATGTGGACAACTACAAATACCTAGGAGTCTGGTTAGACCGTAAACTCTCCTTCCAGACTCACATTAAGCATCTCCAATCCAAAGTTACATCTAGAATCGGCTTCCTATTTCGCAACAAAGCCTCCTTCACTCATGCTGCCAAACATGCCCTCGTAAAACTGACTATCCTACCGATCCTTGACTTCGGCGATGTCATTTACAAAATAGCCTCCAACACTCTACTCAGCAAATTGGATGTAGTCTATCACGGTACCATCCGTTTTGTCACCAAAGCCCCATATACTACCCACCATTGTGACCTGTACGCTCTCGTTGGCTGGCCCTCACTACATATTCGTCGCCAATCCCACTGGCTCCAGGTCATCTATAAATCACTGCTAGGCAAATCCCCGCTTTATCTTAGCTCATTGGTCACCATAGCAACACCCACCCGTAGTATGCGCTCCAGCAGGTATATCTCACTGGTCATCCCCAAAGCCAACACCTCCTTTGGCCGCAATTTCTTCCAGTTCACTGCTGCTAATGACTGGAACGAACTGCAAAAATCTCTGAAGCTGGAGACACTTATCTCCCTCACTAACTTGAAGCATCAGTTGTCAGAGCAGCTTACCGATCACTGCACCTGTACATAGCCCATCTGTAATTAGCCCACCCAACTACCTCATCCCCATATTGTTATTTATTTTGCTCATTTGCACCCCAGTATCTCTATTTGCACATCATCTTCTGTACATCTATCATTCCAGTGTTAATACTAAATTGTAATTATTTTGCACTATGGCCTATTTATTGCCTTACCTCCATAACTTACTACATTTGCACACACTGTATATATATTTTCTATTGTGTTATTGACTGAATGTTTTGTTTATCCCATGTGTAACTCTGTGTTGTTGTTGTTTTTATCGCACTGCTTTGCTTTATCTTGGCCAGGTTGCAGTTGTAAATGAGAACTTGTTCTCAACTGGCCTACCTGGTTAAATAAAGGTGAAAAAATAAAATACAAATAAATAAAAGATCAGTCCAATCAATAATAAATAAATAAAAATAAAATAAAAACGGCGATACAGTGGCTGGGGGAAGAGACGGTTCAGAGAACCACCTCTGTTACATAACATAGGCACACTTTTCCTTCATAGATGCATGCCATAAGATCTTCCCTGTATGAAATGCTCTTCATTAGGTGACATTAATGTAATTTATCGTCGACGAGAGAACAATTACTGTAGGTTGAAGTAGATACATTTTGATGTCACTTCAGGTACAACGCTTTTATTTAGGAGAGAACAATTACTGTAGGTTGAAGTAGATACATTTTGATGTCACTTCAGGTACAAAGCTTTTATTTAGTTATCCATAGATGTTTCGGGGTGGGTGTGCTTTTTAAAAATTAATATTGTTTTTTAATTCAGATTTTTTTCAGGGGGTGCTGCAGCACCCTCAGCCCTCCTACTTCCCGCTACTATGTAGTTATCAACTGTTTATTATCAGTTTATAAACCAGTAATACAATGAGTTTATGTGGATGTACTTTTAATAATATGCCTACTTGCCAATAATTCCACTTATTTTAAGGTACTTCCCAGTATGACATGAACTAACTTCCAATAGTTTCAAACTACATGTTCTCAAATGAAAAATGTCCACGGGGAATGGAGGGGGGCATCAAAAACATTCAAACAATTTCATAGAGATAGGGAAAAAATTATAGTGCATCTCTATTTCTAAGGAAAATAATCGTAGTGCATCTCTATTTCTATCTGTAAACCCTAGACACCATTTATATTGGGTAAAGTATTACTGGAATTCATAGTTTTTGTGTGCGCGCCCCACCCCCCCCCCCCCCCCCTCTCTCTCTCTCTCTCTCTCTCTCTCGCTATACGGAGGTGGGTTCCTTCGCCGCACTAATGCCGAATTCTCTCTAGCAGTATCACGAGTGGAGGGAGAGGGAGCGCGTAGGCTATCAAGTGGACAGGATATCCGAGCCCACCGGCTTGGATTATTTGTTCAATCATCTTTGCCTGGCTGCAAGACACCTTTCATGGCAGTCCCGTGGTCCCACTAGCCACAGCATGGAATTGACATGTATAACCGCATTATCTGCCTTTATTAGCCAGATATCTTTATACTGATCCCACAGTCCGATTGAGGATATAGGCTACTTGACTACTATGCCAGCGAAGAAACACGGCGTCGCGAGGCTCTGTTCATAATTTGCTCACTGGTTCATTGATACAGGCACCACATCGACTGATTTGACGTCTATTTCGGTGAAAAACAAACCCACATCTGGAATTGGGGTTAAGGTAAGGTCGTTGTAGCATATGCTGCATGTCTATATTTTTAAAAGCCATTTCAAAGATCATTGAGCATGAACAATTCGAGGTGCCTGTTTTCGTGGGAGATGCAGCAACACCGGCCTGCATTGGCTAAGGCTACTGCAGTGATTCAAAAGGGTCGTATTTTATGCTGTTTTATTTGATTTTGCTGGGTATTAGGCTTATGCTTTTGTTTAGATCACTTGTGTTTGCCAAACATAATAGTTAGGCTACTATTTGTGCGTAGGCTTTGAATAGCAAATATGGACAGGTTAGGATAGGCCTTATAAAATATTTAATTATTTAGTATTGGTCCATGCATGTTCCTGATCATTAAACGCACAGACGTGTATTACATTTGCATGACACTTTTAGAACATTCATTGCATCTCACAATGAAGCCTTATTCTTGAAATAAGTAGCCTAAGGCGGCACTAACTAACATGCTTGTACATATAGTAGTCTATAGCCATATGGAGCTTAGGCTACGTTATTTGACTGCAACTACAGTAAAAGTAGTCCACATGTAAATGCTATTTTATCCAACAGCAGATTAGCCATATGACAATTATAGCATAGACTATGTCGTTTTAATGCAGCCACTTTCTTGCTTAAAGTGTTAATTCAAAGAAAAGCACCATGCACTTGATATGGGATGGTGCAGGGGACCGGTGATCATAGCCTACGTGCGGTATGGACCAATGAGACAGCCGTGGTACGGATGCAGGTCGTGTGTGTCATTTTAACGTTAAAAGCGATTGCGCAAAAGGGAGTTAAGCAGCCTGACAACATGTTTACCTTTCCACGCATATTCCATAAAAAAAATATATGTCATTTATATCCTATTTTGCCCTGCCTTCTTACACGCAGGCATGCACAGAAAACTGCGTCGACACTGTAGTAGCCCACCTCACCATCACCTTGGATAGGCACCACTAGGCACTAGGCACCACTATTAATGTTAGCCTAATTATGCAGGTTTTAAATGAGAAATCTTGATCTAATGTGCGGAGATTTTGTGTGGATCAAGCCTAAATTCTGTTCACTGAACTATCGATTTTTTTGTTGACCGTATGGCTGGGCGTAGCCTGTTCTACGGATGTCAGTGTTGTTAATGTTGGTCACACACAGCTGTTTAAATTGTGAAATAACTTGAGCGATCCTTTGCAACACAGTTAGTGGCGTGCTGTGACGTCACGCTACTACCGCTGGCGCTGTCCATTGTACTGATCTGTCATTGGACGCAAAAATGTCAAATTCAACTCTTCAGCAAAGTTTGTGGGCAAAGGCAAAAGGGATGTCAAGAAACCCTTTATTCTGAATGCAAATGAGAATTTATGGTTTAACGTTAGCATATTTTGACATCCAGTCTTATAGGCCAATGTTGCATGACTTTGAAAATAATCGTTTGACAAGGCCTGCTGTCCTAGTAGGCCTATGCTAGCCATTCAAACGGACACTGCAGGCTACATTGTCCTGTGCTGAGACAGTGATTGATACACGCCATTGATATTTTCAATATTTGCAGATAATTTTTTAGATCTGCATAGTCTACTTCTGGAAATGTGATGCAGTATAACGTCTGATAGGCTAAAGTTAAGTTGTTTCAGATAAAGGGCTTACACGAACTGGTGTTTTTTTTGTTTGTGTTCTGGGTCTTCTGTCCCTTGAACACAGTAGACTATGGGACCTATTGTCTTTACATCTAAACACAATAAAAGGCCTGGGTCTCTACTGATACTATGGAAGTGTGCCTTCAGAAAATGACCTAGCCATAAAGCCAATCCTCCAAGTGTTCTCCATTGTACGCCAATTGACCGCAATATTGTGTGGAAAGTAAAGGTCAAAGTAAAAAATGTCCTCTGATACACACATCTGTGTAAAAGATGGATGAAAAGCTGAATGTATAAGGAGGGGGG